TTTTGGTGGTATGGAAACAGCTGTGGAAAAACATAAACTATACAAATTAAACGTTCGCAATCTAGATAACAATTTTGAATGCATAATTTCTGCACTAGACAAAGAAAAGTTATGTGGTTATATACCAAAGCTGCACGATGTAAATATTTTAAAACAATTAAAAACATTAAATATTAATTTACATGATTGCAGCAGTGAAAGTTCTGATATAGATTTACTTATAGGGGCTGATCACTCAGGTTTTTTATTTACAGGCGAAGTAGTTCAAATTAACGAGACCCTGGTGGCAATGAACACAAAATTAGGATGGGTATTGCAAGGAAGTACTTCAAATCTTACAGTGTGCACTTCTACTATTTCTCATATTACAACTAGCTTAAGCGCTATTTCACAACTTTGGGACTTGGAAACCATCGGCATCAAAGATCCTGCACAAACAAAGAAAAACGAAGTATTGCAAAAGGAGATAATGGATTATTTTCATGAGACAATAAGGATTAACGAAGAAGGTAGGTATGAAGTTAAGTTGCCATGGAAAGAAGATATTAGTCTTCTAAATAACAAGGAATTAGCTTTGAAACGACTTCATTCTACAACAAAAAGGTTAGTCTCTATGGGATATTATAACGAGTATGATTTATCTTTTAAAGAATGGCTTAGATTAGGTATTATAGAAGAAGTAGTTGGCGATGATAGCGATCACATTTCAGGAACAAAGTAAAGAGCTTATGTTGTTATGTAAAATGGAGCTAAGACAATGGGTGATTGGACCTTCAGAAGAAGAAACGACACTTTCAACATTGGGTATTTTATGGAATACTAAAGAAGACACTCTATTCATTAATAACAAACAGTTGAATTACACTAATGAACGTGTTACAAAGAGAATAATTTTATCTTTTGCACATAAAATATTTGATCCAATTGGATACACCGCACCGATAATGTTAATACCTAAGTTACTTTTGAGGAAATTACATGAAATGAAAGTTGGATGGGATGATGATGTATCAAGTGAGATAAGTGATAACTTTACATTATGGGCGAAGAAACTTAAGTATTTAGACGCCTTGCACATACCAAGATGCATTACACAAGGTAACATTGATGAATGTAAGTTGTCAATTCATATTTTTTGTGATGCGAGTAAAATTGCATATGCTGCAGCAATATTTCTCCGTAGCGAATTTAGAGGAAAAATAACTACACAGTTATTATCGGCGAAGTCTAGGTTATCGCCTAATAAGGACAACGACATCTCCATTCCTCGCTTAGAACTACTTGCGGCTACCATTGCCACACGTTTATATGTTCAAGTAAGAAGTGCTTTATGTATAGAACATGAAAGTTATTTTTGGACAGATTCCAACGTGGTCCTAGCTTGGATAAAGAATGAAGGAGACCGGGGAGTTTTCGTTAGAAATAGAGTACGAGAAATACGCAGTTACACAAAGGTTGAGAATTGGCATCATATCGCAGGAACTTTAAATCCAGCGGACCTTCCATCTAGAGGTTGTCACGCAGACGCTTTACAAAAATCATTGTGGTGGAAAGGTCCGAACTGGCTCAAATTAAATAAAGAAGAATGGCCATTTGGACTGAGTTTATCACTACGAGACAGTACTGAAAAAGAGTTGAATAAAATGAATAATAATGATTTACTCGTATCAACAAAAGAACGATTTTCTGATAACCTTTTACATTTTTCAAAATATAGTATGATAAAGAGAATGCTGACTTGGATAATGCGTTTTTACAACAATGTTACAGGAAGACAGAATAAACAAAATAAACTAGATTTAGAAGAAATAAATAAAGCTGAAGTTATATTGTTTAAGATTATACAGAAGGAAACTTATGAAGAAAAGAAGAATTATAAAAATTTGACTACCGTCATAGATTCGGATGGATTAATAAGAGTAAAGACGAAACTCTTTTCAGAAGAGCTTCCGTCTTGTTACAGGTATCCGATTTTATTACCCAGTAGTCATCCTATAGTACAAAGAATTATATTACAAAAACATATAGAACTTTTTCACGCTGGTACGCAAACACTCTTGGCAAACTTGAGACAAAATTTATGGATAACTGGAATAAGACTATTGGTAAAAAGAACATCAAGAAATTGCGTTATTTGTCAAAAGCATAGAGGAAAATCCTGCATGACACCGCTTATTCCATTACCGACTAATAGAACCAAAACAGGTAAACCTTTTGAAGTTAGTGGAGTTGACTTAGCTGGCCCATTGTTTTTGAGAAACGGTGATAAAGTATGGTTGGTGCTATACACATGCGCAGTTTATAGAGCGATCCACTTGGACTTGGTAACGTCTTTGTCCACAAATGATTTCTTGTTTTCGTTTCGAAGGTTTATCGCACGGAGGGGTAGAATAACAACAATGTATTCAGATAACGGGACAAATTTCGTCGGAGCGAGAAATCTGTTTAAACTGATAGACTGGAATGAAATTGTAACTCAGGGTGCTCTGCGTGCTATCAAATGGATATTGATTCCGCCAGGATCACCGTGGTGGGGAGGGTGGTATGAACGCATGGTGCGTACAGTGAAGGAGTTGTTACGACGAGTCGTAGGAATGGCCTCTCTTTCTTTTATAGAATTGGAGACCATAATTACAGAATGTGAGGCCATAGTCAATTCACGACCATTATCGCATATTGTCGATGATGCTGATGAATTGTTGCAACCACTCACCCCAGCGTTATTTCTACAACCACAACCGTGCACAGAAACTACGGATCTAGACCAGTTGGATGGTAGGAGCTTAAATGTACGCGTGAAGTATCTACAAAAGTTAAGAGCAGACTTGACAGAGCGTTTTCGTAAGGAATATCTAGCTTTATTAGTACTCAAAGGTAAGGAGGGAAATCATCGCTTAAAGGTAGGTGACTTAGTTTTAGTAGAGACCCCAGACAAACATATTAGGTGGCCATTGGGCCGTGTTTTAGAACTGCATGAGGGTCGAGATGGGGTATGTCGAGTAGCTACCGTCAAAACTATCACTGCTGTACTCACAAGAAGCGTTAAAAAGATATACCCACTAGAATGCTCCTACTAAATAATGCTCGTTTTTTATACTTTTATGAATATTATTGTATACATATAATTGTATACATTTGTTAGTGTCTTAAATTAAGTTATTTTAATGTATTTATTTAGTTTTTTTTGTTCCTTTGGAGGATGTTCGGGACTCTTTATTGAAAGGTTGTTTATGATTTTATGAATTTCATTCAAGAAAAATAACTTGTTTTCTATTGTTGTCAATGTCATAATATATATGGAAAATTAATAAAACCATCAAGTTTTACAAAAGTTAATTGTTGTGTTATAATTCACAAATTGACCGATTTTATTGAACCACGGTTTATAAACCACAACAATAACCATCTACAGCATGTAATTTAAATGAATATTTTCGAAGATATTACAGATTGAAAATGCAGAAACATACCGGTTCGGGCAGTACTGGCCGGGGGGCCGGCGGCGGCGCGTGTCTTTAGTAATTAGGTATTTAAAGAAAGTCATTGTGTTTAATAGAAACCTGAGAACAAAAATATAATCTAAACTACAGCTCTACACCGAAGCGAAGCGAGGGCGGGCCACTAGTAGACAATAAAGTTTAAAAAATCATCCAATGAAATATCCGAAAACTAAATAAAAAAGTCTTTCGAAGGCAGCTCGACAAACTAAATAAAAAAAATCATTATTCTGACGACGCATTCAGACGCTGACAAAGGCTGCGAAACGTCAATCTATACTAATATTATAAAGAGGAAAAGTTTGTATGTAAGTATGTTTGTAACGCATTGGCTCAAAAAGTACTGGACCGATTTTAAAAATTCTTACACCATTTGAATGCTCCATTAGCACTTATTAATATAGGCTATAGTGTATTTTCAAAAAAGTTAGGGTTCCGTATGAAAACTTCAATAATGTAACCCAACGTGTGCAAAATATACCAAAAAATAGCCATATATCGTGTACGCTGCAGAAGTCATTGATAATAGAGCAAAGTGATGTACTAAAGTTTTATAGAGGATACCAATATCTACAAAAAAGTCCGCGATACCATACATCTAACTATTACAGTTATGTCACAACGAGAGGTCCCCTGCGGTTTCGCGTTAATTTGAAGAAAAAGGTTTATAGTGAGTCAAACTTAAAATATACATACATACATAGGCTGTCGCGGACTTTTTCACAGAGCTTTTAAAGGGGAAGATTTCTGTCAGACATGATTTTGTAATGTAACTTTAACCGTTTACCCAGCGTAAGCAACGGAATCTCACAAATGGAATATTTATACACGTTTTTGCAACATTTTTCATCTATGTTCCGCTGCTACTGGTCGTAGCGTGGTAATATATAGCAAATAGTCTTCCTCGATAAATGCACTGTCCAATACAAAAATATTTTTTTTCAAATAGGAACAGCAGAACAATTTTGCATTCGGTACAACGGGTCCTAAACTACGCAACGAATTTTTTACTTGGAATGGTAGGTTTATAATTATTATGAAGAAAGTCATTGTATATAATACAAGCCTTTGAACAAAAACAAAATATATAAATAAATAAAATCAGTGCATACCGTTGAAAGTTGTTTTATTTAATGAGTCATGTGCGGAAAAATCTAAGAAACAAATATATTTTATTTTTCTATTTTTAGTATCGACTTCAAACATATCCGTTAGTTAATCTTATTTTTTCATTTTCAGATTTTTTGAAGTTGATTTTATTTTTTAAATAAAGAAGCATTAAAATTAACGGGACGCTGTTTTTATACTTAGTAAGTAATACGCCAATAGCCAAATTGGTGGAATAATATATTTTGTTGTTGTTTTTTACTTAACTTCTTATTAAGACTTTTTGAAAGCAAAGAGGTCTTGATTTTCAGATAAAGTTTAAATTAAGTATATAAAAAGTACAAGTTAAGATTTTACTTGAATATTTTTTCTTTAATGTAATAATTTTGTACCTACCTGTTCATCTTCACAAGCTTGAAGGAAGATTTCTGGTGAAGCTTTATTTATGTATACAATTTTTTTCCCCATAGCTAAAACCTTGTAGGTCATGAATGTGTCATAATTATGAAACCATTCACCGAAAACGAACACAGATTTTAGAGAGTCATCGCTGAAACTATAAAAAAAAAATTGGTTATGTAGCTATCTTTCTATAGACACCGTCAGAAAAGCCTATATAGTAAACAAACATTTATATGGCTTCAATAAATTTAAAAGAACTCTTTCGATAAAATAGCAATAATTGATCTATCGGGTACGTATTTTGATTGGCCAAAAAAATCACACATCATCTAATGAAACGCAATTTATCGCATCGCATTATAGGTACTTACATATTTTCAAATTCAAAATTTTATTATTAAAATGATTTAATCATAGCTTTTGCAAAATGATTCGTTGTCATTCGGTTATTTGATTTTGATACTTTTGTAACGTGAAACTGTTGCCAAATGATATGATGCCAAATGTGGTTTAGGAAATGAAAATTTTCCAAGGAAGGAACCCGAGCTGAGTTCTTTTAATGTTTTGTGTCAAACATTAAAAGAACTCAGCTCGGGTTGTTCATTGATTTGACATCTAAACGATGAACAGCTTTGCCGATACCAAGGTTGGAAAGCGTATCCAAGTTAGGGTACTTGATCTTTGCTTTTAAAGTCACCAAATGCTTTAGATCTGTATAGTAGTCGAACACGTCCCTGTATCAGGAAATACTCAACGACAGGGCTTTAGAAGTATAATCCACCGGCTTTTTCGTATTGTTTATATAAGTACTAATTAACATTTTAAAACCCTATTGAATTTCATTAACTCATAATGGTTGCTGAACATGTATACATTTTACTTTATTTTATAACTCATATCGGGGACTATAAACACATGTACATTTTTATTAGGGCAATGGAAATGTACAGTTATATTTATTTTATATATTATTTTATTCACATACTTACTCATGTGGAAGACTGTTAAGAATGCAATTCAAATGTGTTAATTGCACACCCTTCGGCATACCAGTAGTTCCGGATGAGTACAAAATGAATGCTACATCAGTTTGGCCCTGAACTTTGACTGGCTCAAAAAGATCAACATTGGCATTGTTGTTCGTCGTCAGTGATTTCAATGAAATCAGGGATTCGATGCTGTCATCAAGAGTAATGAACACTTTGACACAATCGAATGCCATTAATACATCTTTGTACGTGTTCCAGAACAGGTTCGAGCATATATAATATTTTGGTTTCGTTATACTCATCTTGTGTTTCAATATAGCTAAAATTATAAGTTGAAAATAATTTCATTAAACAGTGCGAAAAATAAGTTCTCCTTAGATGAAATTAACAGATACATGTTTAGAAAACTGAAACAATGGAAGTTTTCTTATTCTTACTCAATCGCTGAATCGACAAACCGCTAAACAAAAAACAAACATTTAAGGCAAGCTATATTTGAGAAGAAAAAGTTTTTACCTCTCCCACATCGCAGATCGTAAGGTGTATACGTTGCCCCGGCGAACACTATCCCGAGCATGGTGGGTACAAACTCGTTTCGTTTCTCCGAACCCACGGCGACAATATCGCCTACTGTCACACCCAGCTTGATGAGAGACACCGCTAAGTTTACGGCGTATTGTGTCAAATTCTTGTAAGTTAGTTTATCGCCCGTTTCGCCATTTGCCTGTTGGAAATTCAATTGCTTTACATGGATTCATTTTAACTTTGGAAGATCTTAGCAGTCCAGTCTCAGAATTTGAATAATCATAAAAAAAATGTTTACTGTTAATGAATCTGAATATTTAAGTCAATGCTTTAAAAATAACAATAATAAAAGCCAGCGGTGCTATTCTGTAGAATTGTTCTGCTGCTAACATCGCAAATGGTGGCAAACAAATAATAAATTCTTTGAATGCTAATACACTTTTGTTTACTGTTGAATATGTTTGTAAGCAAATTACATTTTACTTGCTTATTTTTTACACAAAAATGGAAATAATTAAAAGTTTTACTAAATGCTGCCAATCATAATGAAATGTTATTTGTCACATTATCTGCTACTTTCGGAATTCATGACATTTTGGTAAGCAGCAAGTAAACAACAAAGTTATTATATAATAATAATAAATACTAAATATTTCCAACACTCACACCAATTAGCCTAGCCCCAAAGTAAGCACTGTACGCTTGTGTTATGGGATACTAGGGAAACGGATAGAATACTTATACTGTACATATATAAGTATATATATTGACATAATTAAATTTAATATACAATTAATAACTTACCAAAGCGACTTCGTCTTTTTTAAGCCTTAATTTGTCTAAAATGTATTTTCCAAAATTTAAATGCGCGGGAACACTGACATTTTGGTCACCAACTATGTAATGTTTACTATTAAACATTATTACGAGAGTTTTCCCTATGGACTATCAGTTAACAATGCGCACTGGTGAAATGAATGTTATTTATCATTAGTATGTGTTTATAAAGTCAGACGTTTAGGGTGTGCATACACAAATGATTATGTAACTCAGTCTTTATTAAAATGTGGCTCATGTGCGATTGGCCTTACGTAAAATGATTCATTTAAAATGAATCTCGTAAGGAGAAGTTTATTGTGACTATTGGACTTTTAAAAGATAACTAAATTGATTCGATATTGAATTAATTGTATACGATAATTGTAATATCATAAATTTACTATTAAGTATTTATTGATAAACAATAATATAATAAGTATGCATAAATCATTGAATCTGTAGAACACCTATTTATTTTAACGTGTAAAAGATAAATATATCTTGTTATCGTAACTTTTTATTAAATATTTGTTTCTATAATATCTGACTCATTGATGCAGATTTCCTCTTATTTATTGAGTGATAATTATGAAACTACAAACATTTTAAAAACAAGATTACATTTTAGACTCTGTGTACTTGTGTGTGTACGTGCGTGTGTGTGTGTGTGTTTGTGAACACTTAACATTAAGGGGAATAGGTAGACTTTGTCTTAACTTGTCCAAACAAATATTTAATTTTCGTAACCCGGAATAAAGTGATAAATAAAAACAGATGGAAATATCCACATGAGGATGTGGATGAGGAAATTAAATAAAATCATGAAAGCAAATGTCGTTCCCTTGGTAGCTTAAACTTGTTTTTTGGGACTCCGTTCCCCATAAAGGGTAAAAACGAAACCATATTGCTGTCACTCTTTCGTCGGTCTTTCTGTCTGTCCGTATGTCACGAGTCTCTAGACCGTAAACGAATTTTAGTTAAAGAACTGAAATTTTGGTATTCCATGAAGAATGCTTACCCAAAGCCGAATATTTATAATTTTTATTATTTTAATATTATTTAGTTAATAATTCAATGAAAATATTTTCATGGGGCAAATTATTCTTTCTAACCCCAGCATTTGACATATCATTGTCTAGAGCTCGTTCAGTGGGATATAAATATCTAAAGAAAATATAACCAGACAAAATTCCACGTCTGTTGCCTGACGGGACTCGAACCCGCACCCGGGCGATTGCACTGACCAATTATGCTACCGCGGCCCTGATCGCCGTGTCGAAATTCTTCTCGCCATTCTTAAGCTGCAAGGCAGCGCCATCCCTTCACATTGTAGGTAACCCACAATGCCAAATGAATACTTTTGCAAGTATTAAACATTTGAAAGAAGAAATAGCAATTATAGTTATAATTTTTATTTTTTTATTCATGTAACTGCTTGATGTTTAAATCTAAAGAAAATATAACTAGAAAAAAACTTGAAACAGATAAATGTATATTATAAAAGAAATATAATTTTATTGAGACACCATTATTAAACTATAAAGGTATGTATTTCTTGTTGAAAGGCTAAGCTTAAAATATAACAAACTTGATTTTTCTTATGTATGGATTCATTATAAGGAAACTGACTAAATGCTCGGAAAATGCTGAACTGCATTTTGCAAATAATCAGAAGTAAAAAAAAAAGCTAAAAAAGAAAAGCTAAAAATGGAAGCACATACCTAATCAATAAAACATCATTGGTACACACCAATTATGCAATCAATAAGATGAATTCTCAGTCTGCCGCTTCCACAATCACTATTCAATAATGATATAGGTAGTAAGTATAAAACATATTAAAAGGTAACTCCTTCTACTTGCAAACACAATTGCTTGAAGTGAGTGTTAAAACAGTCTCTTATTTGATGGAATTAATTAATGTCAAAAGTAATAAAACTAACAATTATCAAAAAAAAAAATAGTTCACAAACAACAAACCAGTTTGTTCCTGTTTTATGTGTCGATATATAACGTTTAAATGATGTGTGATTTAATAATAGCCAATTACTCAAAGTTATAAAGTGGTAAATTCATATATTTATTTTCACAATAAAGAAAAGTGGTATGTACACCACTTAAACCTATCAAAACAATATTTATATTTTTTCCTCTGTAACACTTAGATGACAACACACACAAACAAGTATATATTATATTGAGACCCCTACTTTTAATCAAGGACATATAAAGAGCATGTTACATGTGATTTTTGGTATCGAATCCAAAGATTTCCTAAAGATATTGATGTGCATTTCTGTCAAATGCTATTTAACAAAACTTCGTAACTAGGTAATATAAATTAAAACATAAAAATATTTCAAGATTAACATTATAATCAATTCTGACATGATTTTCTAAACCTAAACTTAAATTTGACAACAGTGTATCCTTGTCATTCTCTATACAGAATAAAAAGGAGAGACTGATGTTAAATTTAGATTTAAGTTGAGAGAATTACGCCAGAATCGACACCAAGTATCGCCTTAAGAATACACTTTTATACAACATAAACTATTATGTTGCAAGCACCCTAACTGATAAAAGATTAATATTAATATTACGTAATTTTAAAGGATATTATGCTGTGATAAGTATAATTACGTCTGAAATAGCAGCAATTGAAGAACAAGCATTTTCACTGAAATCATGCACCACCAAGTTTGCTATCTTTATATTATCTTCATGAAATCTGATAAGTGTCATTGCTGTCATGCAGATAATTGATAATATAAAATTATTTGATTAATAATTTATACATATAAATGTATAGATAAGTAGCACATTTACATGATAACTGTTACCAAATAAACTCTTCAATGCTTGATAATCTTATAATGTAGGAAATTTTTAACTTATAAGATCACAGCACCATTTAAAAATACCTAAATAGAAATTTTATGTTGTAAAATATTCATATAGCAATAAAGAAATATATACCTATAAATTAAGAATTTTATAAAAACTATTCTATAGAATGTGCAAATGTGTGTTTTAATACTCATTAAATTACCAACCTTTGTTGTTGTGTGATCTCATTAATCTGTAGGCAACCTTTGAATTCTATGGGAATTATGATAAGTCAATAAAACCTACACTTTTACCACATTTTATGGTGGAGTCATAAATATTACACACCCCTTAAACAATGTGTACAAATTAATAACGGTATTTTTATCATACTAATAATTAAAAATGTATTGTTATTTTAAAACTATAGACAGTAATATGCAGTAACTCTATCAAATCGACATGAATTTCTGTGGACACCAATACAGTTGAAACCAGCCATGCTTTCTTATATTTGGAGGACATTAAAGTACATTTTCTTACCCTAATAAGTATTTTATCTCTTACCGAAGTACTTTATTTACTAGTAGTAAATAAATATCATAACATATAACATAACTCATGCTGTAATATTGAAAACAAAGGAGGACGGGCATTTTGGTATCCAATTGGTGTTTGGTATCAATAGCGATGAGTGATATATCATTGAATACCTCTTTTCATGTAGAATATTAGTTACTATGGCGGCATTCTGATATTTGTAGTCCGTTTTTATTTTTCCATAAAATACCAGAACCATTTTTGCAGGAACCGTTATTTCCATTATTTATTATTACAGAACCAAAAAGGGAAATCGAGTCACTGAATCAAGTACAGAGTTGAATGCGGGATGCCATCCCCTCTCTCGCCCGTATTTAGGCAGGTATACAGAAGGTGCGGGCGGGAAGGTTCAGTAATAACGACTTAGCTTAGAATTAGTACATGTCTAACTGGTAGACGTACCATAGGAACTTGTGCTCTGCCAGGCACGCCGGATTCGTCGCTCCTGCACTGTTCCTAAATGACATCCTTATTATAAATAATGAATAAAGTAATTATTCGAAAATGTGTTTCTTTCACTCCGCCGTTATTGTTTTTTTTTTATTATGTTTTTTACCATTTTCTTTTATTAACGTTCTCTTTAAAGATAAACATTAAATAGTTCACACGAGGTTGTATTGTTACTAAGTCGGAAGGCACTGGTATCTGCAATACAGTTTTTTTTAAACTATTGCAGATATCAACGCTCCACCCCAATGCCTATTGTTAATACTTAAAACACTGCTAAAATAATGTAAATACTAAAATGTATAACAACTTAAAAAGAAAAAACTTTATTTATTATTTATTATATAACTCTGTTTCGACAACGTACCAGGGCAAGCGCCATAGTAGACATTATTGTATTCAAGTAGACCTTTCAAATGATATGTAACACATCTCTATTGGAACGGATACCAAGTTCCATACATTTTTGCCCATCATCCTTTGTATTCCCTTATTTTGCAAAAAATTGTTTACCTAAACATTTTACCAACGCAAAGAATCTCTTAAAGATGGAATGATAGCATTCGCACTGTATAAATAGCAATGCAGGTTATAATCAATGTATATCTTTGCAACTTAGCTGGATTAATTAATTTTGTGAAACTAAAAAGTAAGTAATAAAGAATTTAATCAATGATACAGGTTTTTATAAGAAAAAGGGTAATCTCAATAATTCTTATTTTTAAATATCTTCTATCCATGGTTATATACCTAGTAGAACTCCTTTAAAGCAGTTGGACCACATTTGATAAAAGTATAATTATGTGTGCATATATGTGAGTACGGGGATGGTTTAGATTCACAATTTCACCCGATAGATTGTACTGTAATTGGACAGGATAATGTATGTCAATTCTGCTACATAGTAGTTTTGCATTATAGTTTTCTAATTTTAACCAACTGAAGTTTAATTTTCATCTTAACTTAACATTATCTCTTTAAGTTCTTACCACAAAGGTATCCTATCTACTCAAAAATAATACAATCATTATCCTTTTCATTTAATATTAATGTAAAAGCAAGTATGCAATAAGACCAAATAAGTACGACCACTAATTATTTACAATTGCCGTTAAATACATAGTTTATTTACCTTACTATCTTCTAGGTACTTATGGTTGAGTATTGTTTAACACTTCCTAGCCGTTTGTTATTTTACAGTAACGTCGATGCTAGGGCTAGCAAGT